ATCAACACTGTAACTAACTCCCCGCAGATGGTCCTTGTCAGCCGACTCAAGCTTATGGGGCCGGGGCTGGGGCCGGGGCTGGGGCCGGAGCCAGGGCCGGGGATGTCCCTAAGAGAGTACAGGGCCCCAGGCAACCCTCCTGCCATAGATCCCACCCCAGCCTCCATTTGACTGGAGAATTGCTAATATAGTTCCTATTTTTAAGAAAGGGGGAAAAAAAGCGACCCGGGTAACTATAGGCCTGTTAGTTTGACATCTGTAGTATGTAAGATCCTGGAAAAAATTTTGAAGGAGAAAGTAGTTAGAGACATTGAGGCTAATGGCAATTGGGACAAATTACAACATGGTTTTACAAAAGGTAGATCGTGCCAAACCAACCTGATCTCCTTTTTTGAGAAAGTAACAGATTTTTTAGATAAAGGAAATGCAGTGGATCTAATCTACCTCGACTTTAGTAAGGCATTTGATACAGTACCACATGGGGAATTATTGGTTAAATTGGAAAAGATAGGGATTAATATGAAAGTTGAGAGGTGGATAAGCAACTGGTTAAAGGGGAGACTACAGTGGGTCATACTGAAAGGTGAGCTGTCAGGTTGGAGGAAGGTTACTAGCGGAGTTCAGGGATCAGTTTTGGGGCCAATTTTATTTAATCTTTTTATTGCTGATCTTGGCACCAAAAGTGGAAGTGTCCTAATAAAATTTGCGGATGACACAAAGTTGGGAGCTATTGCCAATTCAGAAAAGGATCGGGATATCATACAGGAAGATCTGGATGATCTTGTAAATTGGAGTGATAGCAATAGGATGAAATTTAATAGTGAGAAGTGTAAGGTTATGCATTTAGGGATTAATAACAAGAATTTTAGTTATAAGCTGGGGACACATCAGTTGGAAGTAACGGAGGAGGAGAAGGACCTTGGAGTCCTGGTTGATTATAGAACGACTATGAGCTGCCATTGTGACATGGCCGTGAAAAAGGCTAATACGATCTTGGGATGCATTAGGCGAGGTATTTCCAGTAGGGATAAGGAGGTGTTAGTGCCATTATACAAGGCATTGGTGAGACCCCATTTGGAATACTGTGTGCAGTTCTGGTCTCCCATGTTTAAGAAGGATGAATTCAAACTGGAACAGGTACAAAGAAGGGCCACTAGGATGATCCGAGGAATGGAAAACCTGTCTTATGAAAGGAGACTCAAGGAGCTTGGCTTGTTTACCTTAACCAAAAGAAGGCTGAGAGGGGACATGATTGCACTTTTTAAATATATTAGAGGGATAAATACCAGGGAGGGAGAGGAATTATTTAAGCTTAATACCAATGTGGACACAAGAACAAATGGATATAAGCTGGCTAGTAGGAAGTTTAGACTTGAGATTAGACGAAGGTTTCTAACCATTAGAGGAGTGAGGTTCTGGAATGGCCTTCCAAGGGAAGTAGTGGGGGCAAAAGATCTATCTGGCTTCAAGATTAAACTAGATGGGTTTATGAAGGGGATGGTTTGATGAGATAACATGATCTTGGTAACTAATTGACCATTCATTATCAGTGGGAAATAGGTCAATGGAGGGATGATAGGAATTACTAGAGAACTTTCTGGGTGTCTGGCTGATGAGTCTTGCCCACATGCTCAGGGTTTAGCTGATCGCCATATTTGGGGTCGGGAAGGAATTTTCCTCCAGGGAAGATTGGCAGAGGCCCTGGAGGTTTTTCGCCTTTCTCTGTAGCATGAGGTACAGATCACAGCTAGAGGATTCTCTGCATCTTGGGGTCTTCAGAGTATTTGAAGGCTTCAATATCTGAGATATAGGTGAGAGGATTATTCTGGGAGGGGTGGGTGAGATTCTGTGGCCTACACTGTGCAGGGGGTCAGACTAGATGATCATAATGGTTCCTTCTGACCTTAAAGTCTATGAGTCTGAGTAATTTTTATCATCATTTTTACTGTTTGAATTTTGTGTTATAGCAAAAGGTCAATTTCTTTCCAAAACAGTTCATGTTAGTGTTTTTTTCCCCCAAGGGTGGAGGAAGGTTGTTCTTTTAAAAATTGTAGAAACTTTCTCCTTAAAAACCTTTTGGATTGTGACTTGATTCTTTTGACATGTTTCTGTTAACACTGATTTATAAAAGACAATATTCAAAATATTTCATACTCCAAATGAACAATGATTTCTAGGTCATAAAATTATTTAAAATAGGAATATAATTTTGTGAAGGGGATGTAAAAATCCAGCAATTGATATGTACCATTTGATTTTTAAAATCAACATGAATTTAGGTACTTGAGGTATGCAAGAGTCTGAGCTGTGATTATAATTAAAAAATAGATGACCACATGAAAAGTTGGGAACTGATTATTTTTTGTAATTGTGATGAAGATTCATAGTATCCACCCTTTCTTTCTCCATAAAGAGATCTTTTTCAAACATTTGTTTCTCTGAAATATGTTACTAATCTGAATTTGTGTGGTAGAACATCTGCATGGATTTACTATATACTTTATTCTATAACTACTGTAATGCAGTATTGTGCTGTGATCTTCTGTGCCTTTAATCTGAAATTACTAACATTTTATTTAAAACATGTTTCTAATATGGCATATTTTTCAAATAAAAGACTAGACAAAATTTAGAATAAATTAAAAGTTACTGTAGTGCTAAGAGCAGAATTCAAGATTTTTTTTCTTTCCTTAAGCAAACTGGATCATGATGAAATCCACCATGAGTTATCAGGTATTGCTTGTGAAAGAAATATTGTCTTAAAAAGTTTTTTAAAATTAAGACACCAATGATCACAACAATAAAAAAAAACTTTTAGTAGTAACTCCATTTTAAGTTGTAGAAAAATGCTTTCTCATTATAATACGTTCTTAAAACATCGATTTCTAAATTTACAAATTATTAATTGATAGGATGATGAGAATCGAAATTTAAACTCTCGGGTTAAAGAAACTGAAGAAGAACGTGCTAGACTCCAGCGAACAGTCAGTAGTCAACAGTTTCAAATGGAAAAGTACAAAATGCTATCAGAGGAAGCTAACAGGAAAAGTGAAGGATTACAGCAACAGGTCATTGCAGTAGAAAAGGTAATGTAGCCATTGATTTCTTTAGTCTTACTTAAAAGAAAAAATATATTGCCACAAGTATATCCTTTACCTGAATTGCTTTACAGTCATATTTGCAGTTGACATGCTGACTTCTGCTTACATACTGATGCTGTTCATTCTGCTTTAAACATACTGTCTGGTCAGATCTTTCTCTTTAAAAAAAAAAAAAAAAAAAAAAAATTGAGACATTTTAGATTTTTTTTCCCCCCAGCCTTCGCCAACAGTTTTATGGGTGTATAATCACATTTTTCTGTATTTAATTGCTTTTTTCATTTTTGTGTAGAACATCCCTAGGAGCAGGTGACTATTCACAAAGTGCAGTCAAGTTCATAAAGGAAGAAAGAAAAAAATGGGAAATATTTAATTTCTCTAATTTATGTATAGCAACTTTGTAACAATATTTTTTAAAACAATCTTATAAAAAAAAATCTTGTAACAAAATTTAAAAAAACACCATTTGACCTGTGGGTAATTTTTTTTTGTTGATGATAGGTGAGTGTATGAGAGTTGAAGGAAGAGTGAGTATGTGTTTCCTTTGTTTTTAGTTTTTCGTAATTTGACTGTGTCCCTTTTAAAACTAGTTTTAAGGAATCAAACCAACCTGGCTCAAAGTACAAGCCACATCTGCAAAGTTGTGAAGTGCCTGGTTATACCAGATGGCCCATATACACAGCTTTTGTTTGTTTGGAACTTAAGCTAAAAGCAGCCTGTGGGTTTTTTTTTTCTTTAATTATTTGGAGCTGGAGAGGTTGGTTTTAAATTCAAACATATTTGAATAACTTAGAGAATATTATCTGAAAAAAAAGATTAAGTGAAAACTGAACACACAACTTGTAGCTTAAATCAAGTGTTCTTTATATTAAACTATAGTGTAGCAACGATTAAACATGTTTTCATTCTATTCCTATATGTTTAAGAAAATAATGTAGCATTGACATTTTTAAACTACTAAGTAGAGACTTTGAGAGAACCTTTTTTATGCAAGTATATCAAACCAAACTAAATGAAAAGAAGTCATAGGCTTTGCACCTGTTACTCACCTGATAACTCACCAATAACTGATGCTCTTCAAGATGGTTGTCCCTGTGGGTGCTTTACTATCCACTATTCCTCCCCTCTGCTATAGAACATCCTTGGTCTGCTGCAGCAGAGAAGGAAACTGAAGGGATTGGTTGGCTGTGCATGTGGGGTAGCTGGCTTTGCACGTGTGCAGCCTACTGATGGCACTGCTACCACAATTCTCTGATTTGGGGCACAGGAGCATGCAGACATCTACAATAACTTTTTCTTCTATTTATTATTTTTAGCATTAGTTGACAAGATATAAAATACAACAACACCATAAAAAATCTGCAAAAATCCCTCTGTATCCTATTACTGTCTGAAGTCAATGTCAGAGCATTAAAAGAGCATTTAATCATCCTTTTCTTACGTGACTAGGTTAGCTGATATCACTTGCACGGTGTGTAAGCTATATCCTTTTATGCAGCCAGGTTATGAAATATTCTATTCCAAAAGTTTAAATTTTATTTTAATATAAAATGGAGTATATGGCACTGAAGACTGAGGCAAGCAGTTGACCTTATTCACAGCTCTGCCATCTTAACATAAGAGAAGCGATGGTGATGCTATGAAGATGAACAGACTGTGGTGTTTACTGCCTGGAAATTAAGTTTCTAAGTTACTTGACCTAAACATTTGTGTAGGTTCCTGAGGCAAAAAAAGTGAATCCCACCTCAGTCTTGTATATGGCCTGGTCACTGACACAATATAGCATAGAAGAGTCACTCAATTTGTCCAAAATCTTTGGAGAAGGAAATTCAGCAGTAAAATCTATGTGTTTCAGTAAGATTGTTGTTCTAGATTTCCTATCTTCTTTTCTGGGTCTAGATTGGAGAAGTCTGGGATCCTTCCAATATACATACAAGCCAGAGTTAGTTTGCAACAATGCTTTTCTATAGTGATTTGTCATTCAGGCACTTACATAATCAAGTCATTCATCCTATACTGTGACGGGGAACCTTTTTTGGATTGGGGGCCACTGACCTACAGAAAAATCAGTTTGGGGCCGCACACAAAAAACCCTCACTGATGTGTCACCTGACTGATAAGGAGAAAGGAAACTCTCCACATTCCCCTTGCATACGAGAGTCTAGGGGGCCCAGCCTAGATTTTGTGTGCTCCAGTCCTGTGATGGGACAGCGGGGGACTGGAGTGCCAGCATAGACTCCCCGTTGCCTCGGGGGCTGGATTCAGACAAGCTGGGGGGTCGCATCTGGCCCCCGGGCCTGAGGTTTCCTACTCCTGTCTTATGAATTCATGAAGGATAGCTTTCTAACAAAAATGACAAATATTTCAAAATAAACCCACCAACACTTGGCTTCACCAGAGTTAATATCAGAACTATAAGAAAATGAAGTAATCTCTCAAAAAGAGACAAATTCAGGAAGAAGACTTAACATTTAAAAGACATTGTTCTCTCTTATCTTTTGGTTAAATGAGTTAGCCTTTTTATACCTGTTACTAGAGATGTGAAAGTGTAACTGTGTACACGGGTAACTGATGAGCCTGGGCTCATCGATTAACCTTCATGATTACACACAAGCTCCTGGTACGCACAGGGAGTCTGCTTAAAAGCTGGCTCTCCACTCGCCCTGGCTACCTGGAGAGCCCCTTTCTGCCCCTCCCTCCCCACGCTACTGCTTCTGTAGTAGAGGCAGCAGTGCAGGGAATGGTGCAGTCAGAAGCTGATGTACATGGGGCGCCAACTACCCCCTCAAGTGTAACTGCTGAAATTTTAAGTGTTTCGTTAATTCAGTACATTTTAACATCCCTACTTACTACTTTTCCTCTGTTTTCATAGACACTTCTCATCGTACACATGAATAACAAGAGTTATGTTCCTTTTTTCCTTTTGCTTTCTCTTACTCCCAGGGGTCGGCAACCCCTGGAATGCAGGCTGATTTCCTGTGGTACTCGGGGCAGGAGCTCAGTCCCACCCCTCTCTCCCACACAGCTGGGAGCTCATGCTGAGCTCCAGCCTCAGCCACGCAGCTGCAGGCTGGGGGAC